CTAATCAGTCCTTCCTACCTTCAGATTCACTCACTTACCTTTCCCTGTTCTCATTCCAGTCATTGACTAAAAATAGGTCAGCATAGGGACTGGCGTGTTTACTTAGTGCACTAATAGGAGTGCACTAAGGTGAAGGTGTCAGATTGGTTTGAAAATTGTTAGCTAAGATGTTGGAGGGCATGTCTAAAAGCATGCTGTTGGGAAATACATGACATTTGAAAAGACAAAAGGGCATTTGCAAAATGAACCCTTTTGAGACAGGAGACCACGCAAACAGGAGCCAAGGTGAGAAGCCTGTCGGCCACGTGGCCAGGATCGCCGCAGGCGCTGCCGAAACAACACTGTGCCTTCCCGCGGGGCTACGGGCTGTCAGCAGTCCGTGGTTTCTAGTGAAAGCATGTTTGAGTCCACTTCAGAGGTCTCAGGTCAGTGTGATGGGTGGATGAGAACTTCCACGGCTTTCTTGCAGGACGGCTTCAGCGGAGTCACACCCTTGCTGGAGCGAAGCTGAAGTGACCGACAGATGGGAAGCCACGAAGGAGTCTGTGGTTGTAGGGATGTGTAGCAGCTTAACAATTGCAATTCAACACAGACTTGAGCGCTCCAGGTGTCTGCCAGGAACCCCTGAATTTGAGTGCAGAGGGGAAGGGGAAACTGAGTCATGGGGGAAGGCTGATGCCTACGTCTAAGGAATGTTGGCCTTTGCAACATACCTGGAAGTCTGGTTGCCTTTTTGTTAGAGCTTGAGGTTCAGAGACGTGAGCCTCAGCTTAGTTCCTGAAAGAAATGTCAAAATGTGGTGCACTGGGGAGTTTTATATGTAATTATCAGACTTTTCAGGACACTGGAGAGTGATGGAAGGCAGTGATAGATAAGAGGTCAGAATGTGGATTCAGATACAAGAGGAAAAAATGTGGGCGGACATGGCATTCCACCCTCCTTCACAGTGTGTGTACTGTGCAGTTGCTACGATACTTTATCAGCTGTTCTCCCTCAGATTTTAACCATTTTTGTGCTCTGCTTTTCACCTCTACAATCAAGGCTCCTTCCAGAGTCACCTCTACTAACCAGGGATACTAATATTTACAGTATGGCTGGTAAATGCTCTCAGCTTAGTAACACCCAGGATTAGAGGACGTGAATGTAGTGAGCTTTGGTAATGTTATTAAAAGATCAGTGATTAGAGTTGGAGCCAGGTTGGGAAGCTAAGAAGAAAGGGAAGCTTTTGGCAAAAGGAAGTCATGAAGTGAGGAAGAAAAAGCTGTGTCAGAGCCCTAGTGACCCATATACCAACGTGACAGTCTTTGCAGTGAGGAAGGTGGAACTCCGTAATGAGCTTACTTATGTTCTCTGAGACCCATCCCTCCAGTATCTCCCAAAGCTACCATGGTGAGCAGGACTTAAATCTGGATTTCACAGGCTGTTCGAGCCAGGGATGTGGGGTATGTTCATGTGAGGGAGAGGCACTCGCACACCTTCCTCCCTCGCCTGCCCCCTTCCCACGCAACACACACACACACACACACACACACACCAAATGAGGAGGTGAATCTGTTCTCTTTCCAGTAAGTGCTTGGTTTCCTTCCCAAGCCTTTGAGGTGTTGGAAGGGCTGTGATTTTGAGTAAGACAAGAATGGTTAATCTCTAATGTTTCACATCAGCATCTGCTGTCAAAGCCCTGGTCTGCCCTGGAAGCCTGCTTCGAAACCTGCCTTCCATGCCTCCCGTTATGTTTCTCCCTCCTCTGCCCTCGCAGCCTCCTGCAGCACACTGAGTGGAGCTCTTTTTATAGCACTCCCCACAATCTGCTCCTGAATCAGATTTGATGGTGTGTATTTCTCCCTGATCTAGAGCTCCAGGACACAGAACCTTGCCTTTTTTTTTTCCTCCCAAGTATTCTTCCACAGTGCCTGGCAGTAGATTTCAGGCCAACTAGTTTGAGGTCCAGTCTGGGTTTATTAAGTGTTATGTTTAGTTCTAGGGGATCTTATAGCCCTTCTTTGGAGTGTCAAGTTTATCATAATCCCTACATCATATATTTATGCTTTCATATCTGAGTCTGCCTGCCCCTAATAAACCTTGTCAATTGATCTTTATTACCCTGGTTGAATGAATAGATATTTTATAGTGATGTATATTTCTTAAACAGTATTTAAAGAAACAGAAGTTTTGAGGTGCCTGCCTGGGTGGCTCAGTCGGTTAAGCGTGCAACTTCAGCTCAGGTCATGATCTCATGGTTTGTGGGTTCAAGCTCTGCATCGGGCTCTGTTCTCACAGCTCAGAGCCTGGAGCCTGTCTTCGGATTCTGTGTCTCCCTCTCTCTCTGACCCTCCCCTGCTCTCTCTCTATCAAAAATAAATAAAAACATTAAAAAATTTTAAAGAAATGTAAGTTATTTGTGGTGAGAGACTAAGAAAAGGTTACCAGAAAGAGGATGCTGAGAAAAAAAGGAATGATTTGAAGATCTTATCACCTTCAGATATTTAGTAGACAGTATGGAAGAATAGAGAATCTTTGTACCAGAAACATAATTTCTTTCATAGCAACTAAGAAGGATGTGGTTAAATTTTTTAATATGCATTAATATTTATGACTTACATTTATTTCAAAAAACTTTCTGGGCTGATTGTTAATTTTTTTGTTATTTTTTAAAATTTGAAGTCAGGACTTCAGATATACCAGCAGCCACAACTATAAATTTATTAGAGTGATGCTTTAGTTATCATACTCAAGTGATAATTCATTATGCTTTCAAAAATATTTTTCAAAATGGTAATGAATTGAATGACTTGGCCTTTGTGTAGAAACTGAATTGAACTTGTGGTTTTGACTTTTAGTAACTTGTGTAATTTGGATATTAGCTAGATACTTAAGCAAGATACGCGGGATTACTCTTTGTTAATATGTGGAGCTCCAGCTATTCTTGGAAACTTGGAGGTTTTTTTTTACTACACAAATATGGGAGAGCCTTCTTCCTGCCAGACAGACATGTTTCTTTGATACCACCTCTGTGTGTATGAGGGCAGGGGAGATACTGATTCCTACTTGCCTGTAGGTTTCTTCAGAACAGGTGTATGGCCTCGGCTTTTGGATTGCCAAATCTAGCACAGTGCCTGACTGAGAGTTAGGAAGGTATCATTATGTTGATGGACAAATGGCTTAGGATGCAGAGACCTATAAGGTGGCTGGCTGACAAGAAGGTCTCCTAATGCAGTTGGCCTGGAAGCCAGGACAGTCAATTACAATGCTTCTCATCAGTGTAACATATCCATATAAGGAGCTTGCCCAGGGGACGGGGCACCTGACCATGGTGTGGGACTCAGGAAAGACTTCTGGGGTGATGTACTATTCCAGATGAGCTATGAATGGAAGCTTCTCAAATACACATAGGTAGGGAATGACGTTCTGGGCCAGCATATGTCAGGCCACATAGATGTGAAAGTGCTTCGTCTTTGGACTATGGAGATTTTTCTTTAAGATGCGAGGTGCTTGGTGGCAGGAGACAAGGAAGAGATCAACAGGTGAGAGCCTAAAGGGCCTGGAATGCCACATAAAGGACGGATAGCCTCTCTTACTTTAGCGGTAGCATAGGGGAGACTTGCCATGGTTGGGTTCATGAAACTAACCATCTTCACCCCAATGCCATTTCCCCTCCTGTGATTTCTCACTCACATCTAGTTGCCCAAGCCAGAAAGCTGGGTTTCTTTCTAATCTGTCTTTTTGCTGGCATGTCCCCCCACCTGCCACCATGCTTACTTCTCAGTTTCTGTCTAATCCACTCACTCTCTTCTGTCCTCCATGCCCAAGTCTGGGCTGTGTGCTCTGTGGCTCTAACAGTCTCGTCTGTGGTCCCTCAGCCCTGTCACTCTCTGGCCAGAGAGAAGCTTCTAAATACAAGTTAGATGGTGCTCCCTCCTGCTCAGGCGTTCTGTGGCCTCCTGCTGCCCTTGGGAGAATGCAGGACCCTTCAGCTCAGTGTCCAGCTGTTGCCCGTGGCCATCCACCATATGGTCCCTGCTGCGCCCCAGTGCTGGGCTCCACCCCTCAGCTCCACCAGACCAACTCCGGGCTCCTCTCCAGCCCCGAAACAACCCTCTCCTCCCGCCTGCCACTATGCACCCTAATTTGGCCTTTTGGGTTGTTGCTACCGGGGTGTATTCCCTGAGTTTTCAGCTCTGGATTTTTAGAGCCCTCACTCTGTGAACCTGCAGTGCCCAGTATTTGCCCAATTGTGACACGTGTGAAGCAGCATTTTACACACTTATCTCTTTCCTATAAGAGACCGTGATTTCTGTGATGGCAGAGACCAAGTGTAGCTTGTTTACCATCTTATTCCCAGCACCTGAAACGGTCTCTGACAGCCAGCAGCTATTTACTGAATATTAGATCTGTGCCCAGCACACAGAAGAGTATCAACAAATCAGGTAGACGTTGTTTACTACCACGTACGGCAGCTGAGCTTTTATTCTACAGATAGGCAATAATCTCCCATGTGCAAATAGGCCGTGATAAGGACGGACACATGGCTGTTAGAAGTGACAAGTTAGAAAGTTATGGCTGATCTGTGCTAATAAACTCTCAGAAGTGGTGAGAGTGAAAGCCAGAGGTGTGAAGAGTCACAGCAAGGATAGGAGGTGACGACCAAGCACAGATGAATTTGTAAAAATGGTTGACTGAAAAGGAAATCGTTAGAAAGGCCACGGGGTCAAAGGAAAATATTTGTAGGTGATGGAAGAGTTCTGTGTCTGTTCGTGGGCCGAGGATGCATGTCCAGCACAAAGGCAGGTGCAGAAAGAGGTGTGGAAGCTCTGTGTGCAGAAGCACTGGCCTTGCCCCTGCGGGAAGCAGGCATCCGTGTAGAGAGAGAGGAAAGGTAAAGGGCGGGCTTGCAGGAATGTGTGCAGGGGTCTGCGGAGAAACAGAGGTAGAGGTAGGGGTATAAGCATGGGCGTTCGGTGTTCTGTTGCCCACTCCTGTGACCTCTTTCTGTCTCCCTTCAGCTGTTCGGGGGCCTCGTCTGGATTCTGGTCGCCTCCTCCAACGTTCCTCTACCTCTGCTACAAGGATGGGTCATGTTCGTGTCCGTGACGGCTTTTATCTTTTCTCTCCTCTTCCTGGGCGTGTTCCTCTCTGGCATGGTGACTCAGATTGATGCCAACTGGAACTTCCTGGTAAGGGATTTTTAAGTCTATTTCAGGAAAATGTGAGAAATGTATAAATATCTTATTCTGTCCTGAAATGCCTGATCCCCTGCTCTGTCTCCAGTGAGAGAGAAAAGATCTGACCACTGGGTCTGCTGGGCTAGTGCCTTGATGGACAACAGGGTCCCAGTTTGTGAAATTTCTGTTAACGGAGCTGAGCAATCTGATGCTCCTTTATGAGTTAGGTGACCTTTACTCAAAGACTCTTTTATTTCATTCAGTAAATGAATTGCATTACAGTTATTGAACTATCAAAGAGATGCCATTGGGGGGTGGATGCTGAGACATACATCTTGAAATTTTCCATTGATTTCTGCTTCGGATATTAAACATATATATTCTTTTCAGAAAACAAGGAGCGATATATTCTATTCTTTAAACACTTACAAAAGGGGATAGTTTATTTTTATTCCTGTCCTAAATTAATAAGAATTGGCAAATCTGAAGAGTTGAATTTACAGTCAATACAATTTAAAAAATTATGACACCATTAAATTGGATCAGCTTACCTTCCCTTTTCCCATGTAACACAGGGGCTCTTTTTCATGCTTATGCTTATTCATTCTCTGGGACAATTTCAAAACGACCAGTGGAGCTTGAATTCCAATCAGTTGGTGGTTAGAAACTTAAATCAAGCCTTTAGTCAGGCTTATATTGTTCCTTTCAGGTATGGTAACATTGTATTCACCAGCTTTAGGACAGAGGCTAGGCATATTGAAAACATGTTCTTAGTTACAGAGTGTTAGAAGAACCATCATCCCAAATGTCACTAGCAGTGAAGTGTAGTGAATGTGGCTGCCCATGAAACCACCCCAGGGGCAAATGGTTAGTGTAAAAAGTTAAGGAGGAAGTGTGGTACGTAAAGTGGTTATAATCTTGCACAGGCTTTGAAGTTAGGTCTGGTTTGCTTAATAACTGTATATATAGCCGTGGGCAAAATATTGAACTTCTTTGGCTTTCGATTTCTTCTTCTGTAAAATGATAACAAAAATACCTCCTCCCTTAGATGCTGTTAAGGAATAATGGAATGAATGTATTCTAAAGCGCTCATCAGCTTTGTGTGTGATTTATAGTAACTGATCAGTAATTGTCATAATTCCTTAAACACACAAGGCTTGCAGTTTGAAACTTTTAAAAGCCCTTCTGTTGAGGGGCGCCTAGGTGGCTCAGTCTGTTAAGTGTCCAACTTCAGCTCAGGTCATGACCTCATGGTTTGAGAGTCGGAGCCCCACATGAGGCTCTGTGCTGACACCTCAGAGCCAGAGCCTGCTTCAAATTCTGTGTCTCCCTCTATCTCTGCCCCTCCTGCTCATGCTCTGTCTCTCCAGAATAAATAAATGGTAAAAGATTAAAATAAGTAAAAATAAATAATAGCCCTTCTGTTCAATTACTATATTGTACACCTGAAACTAATGTTACACTGTATGTTAACTAACTGGAGAGTTAAGAAAAAAATATAGACACACACACACACACACACACACACACACACACTCAGGAAGTCCTGTTTCTGACATTGCTGATGCAGTGTGTTCCTACATTGTTGCCTTGATTTCTCATTAATGATGAGAAAATATTTCTAATAAATGGTCAAAATGATGAAGATCAGAAATCTCTGTTTAAGTTATAGTTAGATGCTTACTATCCTCTCCCTAATTGCCTGGCTTTCTCATAGTAATGTATGAATGAACCAGTCGATACCTGATGTTGGGAAGCACCACCAGGCTCTTTTAGTATTAGGTTCAAAGATGGTTTTTGACCACTATGTACCAGTATAGCCTTCAGGACTGGCTAATACATAGTCATTGGCCCTCCCTGCTACCTCTTCCCAGTGCTGTGCTCCCCGTCATCCTGGCCCTTCCTCTGGGACCTTCCTGGACCTCCTAATAACCCAGCAATGAAAGGGCTAATGCCTGGAAAAGTAGTGAGTCTCCAGGAGCCTGCATTGCCCAGCTCCTTCTAACTGGTCAAACCACATGCCGTACCAATGTTTAAATGTTTTGCCAACATCACCCCTGGTTTTATTAGACATACCATCTTTTTTTCCATTATTTATTTTATTTTCAAATTTTATTTAGATTCTAGTTAGTTAACATACTCCTGGTTCCAGGAGTAGAAGCCAGTGATTCATCACTTACATACAACACCCGGTGCTCATCATAACTAGTGCCCTCCTAATACCCATCACCCATCTAGCCCAAAAAACAAATAATCCAGATATGAAAAGGGCAGAAGACATGAATAGAAAGTTTTCCAAAGAAGACCTCTAGATGGCTAATGGATGCATGAAAAGATGCTCAATGTCACTCATCGTCAGGGAAATACGAATCAAAACCACGATGAGATACCACCTCCCACCTGTCAGAGTGGCTAAAATTAACAGTGCAGAAAACAACAGGTGTTGACAAGGCTGTGGAGAAAGCGGAACTCTCTTGCACTGTTGCTGGGAATGCAAACTGGTGCTACCACTCTGCAGAACAGTGTGGAGGGTCCTCAGAAAGTTAAAGAGAACTACCCTGTGATCCAGAATTGCACTACTAGGTATTTACCTGAAGGATACAGACTCCAAGGGGTACATGCACCCTGATGTTTATAGTAGCATTATCAACAATAGTCAAATTACATAAAGAGCCCAGATGTCCATCAGCTGATGAATGGGTATAGAAGATGTAATATATATACACAATGGAATATTACTCAGCCTTCAGAAAGAATAAAACTTTGCCATTTGCAACAGCGTGGATGGAGCTAGTAGTATATATTATGCCAAGTGAAATAAGTCAGAATAATAAATACCATATGATTTCACTCATGTGGAATTTAAGAAACAAAATAGATGAACATGTGGGACTGGGCGCAGGGAAAGAGAGAGGGAACAAACCATGAAGAACTCTTAAACATGTGTTTCCTTATGCTTATATTGAGTCTAATTTTTGATATTGAGTATATCATTAAAATTCTTATAAATGTATTAGGTTTCCTACATTTGTGTCCTTCCCCCAATCTGTAACGTTGTTGTTCAGCCAATAAAATGTAGGAGTGTTTTTTTGTTTTGTTTTTTTGCTTTGTTTTTTTTGCTTTGTTTTGGTTTTAATTAAATCGCTTTATGGAAGAGGCGATTGAAATGGGAAGACCTCCGAGTCTGTTGCACGGGTGCCCGCAGAGTTTATCCAGTGGTTTTCTTAGCGGCTGCACCTACTCGGAGGGAGAAGGAGAGCGCGGTGTAGTAACAGGCCCCACACCCGCCGTGTGTCACCACGCAGCCCCGTCACCCGTACCTTACAAAAGCCAGCTCTCGCCTTCAAGGAGTTGACAACGCTCGCCATATTTACAGAGGGCTCCTTTTGTTTCTCCTCTTTTATGATTTTGTACATAATCAGTCATTTCTGACCGCGTGGTTTTGTCACCTACCTTGTGTACTCCTGGCTGGGAAGTTTCCAGCCAAGCGTATTGTGGGAGTTGCCACCAGATGGTAACAACTTTTAATTGCTGCCTTCTGGAACTGTTAGACATGAACTGCTCAAAAGATAATTTCCCCTTGTGGTGACGGTTTCTTGTTACCTGTATACAATGCATAAAGGAAGCAAAAATGCATTTTAATGAAGAATTTGTTTTCTGAAAGTGTCTGTTGTGGGATATTGACTAAAATATTCATAGCTTCTACCTTTTGTTGATCATAAGATTGAGTTAACATTCATGGTGGTAGACGTCTTCAGTATTTTTCCCCAAGCTTTCTAGCTTCGGTATAAATGATGAAATAAAAATATAATATGTAATAACATATATTAAATGTTAAAAACTTGCCCTATTCTAATTTGAGAAAAGAAGCAGGTTTTCATTTTGAGATGGTTTTTCTGTGTGTGTGTGTGTGTGTGTGTGTGTGTGTGTGTGTGTGTAGAGGAAATAACACCCTTTTGACTAACTTTAAACAAAAGATACCATACTTATTTTACATTTATGGAGAGGAGGAGTATGAAGGAAAGATATATTCTAGAAAAATGAAAGTTACAAAAAAAGTTCTGTACAATTAAACATGTTTCATTTTCTTCCCATAAAGCACCTGGCACACATTTGCCCATTCTGGATGTCACTTAATACTGTAAATGTCTTGGGGCGCCTGGGTGGCTTAGTCGGTTAAGCGTCTGACTTTCGCTTAGGTCATGATCTCGCGGTTCGTGGGTTCGAGCCCCGCGTCGGGCTCTGTGCTGACTGCCAGCTCAGAGCCTGGAGCCTGTTTCAGTCTGTGACTCCCTCTCTCTCTGACCCTCCCCTGCTTACGCTGTCTCTCTCTCTCTCTCTCTTCTCTCTGTTCGTGGGTTCGAGCCCCGCGTCGGGCTCTGTGCTGACTGCCAGCTCTGAGCCTGGAGCCTGTTTCAGTCTGTGACTCCCTCTCTCTCTGACCCTCCCCTGCTTACGCTGTCTCTCTCTCTCTCTCTCTCTCCTAGAAATAAATAAAAAACATTAAAAAAAATACTGTAAATGTCTTGATCTATATTTTCTGTCCTGCCATTCATTTACTTATTTGATTTCTACAACAGTTCATCACGGAATACTATTTTCCCATTTTTACAGATGTGAAAGCGGAAACACAGTGTGGCCATCATCCCTTTTCATGCTGCTGTATGGAAAACAGGGTCCCCCTACTTACGATGTAGCTTTTTGTTTTTTAACTAGTTAGTGAAAATTTGACCCTGGACTGTGGAGCAGAACACGGGCTTAACATAAGAATATGGGGGTGGGGGGTAGTCATTTGTTACTGGAAAAAATCAAGCCGTGCTTGAGGCTGTTTACCCGAGGAAAGGTGAAGAGAAATGGGCAATACTCTGGGGTGTATGAAAATTGGGAAGTTTGGCAAGAGAGCAGGAGTAAGCAAAGGAGACTCAGAAAGAGGACGGGACCATCTGCTGATGGGGACGTGCCAACGACTCAGGACAGGTGGCTCCCAAAGGGTGGTCCCTGACCAGCTGCAG